TAACCAGGAAAGGCATTCAACTTCCCATGGAAAAGACCCAGATATATCGATAGAGCTTCAAACGCTGATTACAAATATGGAAACTAAAACTGCAAAATGAACCTGCCAAGGAAGTTGTGAGCAGTCAAAGTTGGCTGGAAGTAAAGCTTACACATGAACAGTGCTAGCCTCCGGCTTTCAAAGTCGCCGTGGAGTAGTGGTAGTGCTCTCGAAATTTGCACTCCAACGGAGGAGAACTTATGACCTCCGGGTGAAGAGCGAGAGGCACTACCACTGCTCCACGGCGACTCTGAAAGCCCGGAGGCTAGTGTGACGCTTTACTTCCAGCCAACTTTGACTGCTCACAACTTCCTTGGCAGGTTCATTTTGCAGTTTTAGTTTCCATATTTGTAATCAGCGTTTGAAGCTCTATCGATATATCTGGGTCTCATTCAAAGTTCCATGGGAAGTTGAATGCCTTCCCTGGTCAAGTTAACACTGAACAGCTCTTTCGAACATCTAGACAGGCAACACACGCTTTCAAATATATCTACGATTCCAATATAATTGGAATGCGTGGCGCATACACACAGAACGAGATGGCTAACGTCGACGATTTTACCATTTGATTCTTTCGAATCAATACGAATATTTCGCAACAGTTCATCCCGAACACTGAATGTGTCAAATAAATCTCGAGCGCTCTCAGCTGAAAAAAAGCTCAACAACCAGATATTCCCTGCTGACAGGACTTTTTAGGATCTCGCCCTCTATTACTCAGCCAGCGCTACCTCATCCGAACCGGTTGCTCCCGAATGCAACGAAACACCCGTCATTCTTCACAGCAATGCGAATGGGCTTGAGAGAATCCGCTTCGAATACATCGACAATTTGCTCAGCGGTAAAGCGAAACACGATGAAACACCGACAAAAAATCGCCGCCATTTGCGCGGTGGCGGTTTCGTCATCGCGCTCCAAGTGCATGTAACTACTAAACACGTTGACGGTCCCATTCAATATATTCAATGTGCCGACAAAATTGCACATGATAATGGGCGGGGGCGGTCACGAGAGAGAGAAGCGACAGAGTCCCAATGAGAAATGAAAAACGAACACGAGATTTCGGCAACCGCTCATGCAGCCACTGAGAATGATTTCGTAGTAGTAACCCTCACTGTTTCGAGAAAACAAAATGAAATGCAAAATTCGAATCAAAACATAAGACGAAAAATAATAAAAATTGAAAAGGATAAAATCCCCTGCAAAAACTTGACAAACAAGCTAGAAAAGAGAAAAGAAAAAATTTGAAGTCAAAATTATACAAAATTCTGCTGAAGGCGAGCACAAATACATGGAAATCATATTAGGAACTATCACCTTATCAAAAACTCCAAATCGTCATACTGTCCTAGCTTTAAAAATTTCCGTTATCCGCACCTCGAAATCCAGTAATTAAACGGTGACAGTCATTGATGCCCTGTGCTCTTTGCACCTTTTCAAACCTGTTGGACCCACCGTTTTTCATTTCAAATTCCAGCTCATCATAAGGAAAAAAGATCGTTCACCGATTGCATAGCACTTAATCCCATTGAACTCAATACCGTCCAAACTCCCCTGTGATTCTGAGCTCCAGTCGTGGTCCTATGCAAGAGGAGCTATTTCAGAAACCCGCCCTCGACCTTCGTTGGAAGAGGCTAGTGAGAGGAGGGTAGTAACAGGGCCGATACGCGCGACGGATCGCGGACTCTGACACAAGCCCAAGTTAGAACAGCAAAGTGTAAAGGACGCGGGATGGATTCTATGAAAAAGAATGACGAAGAGCTCGCATTGAGAGAAGAAAAACACCGGATTTCTAAGATCCTCACTTGGTCTTGCCCGTAGGGGGGGGTTGGAGAAAAATGCTCGACAAAATCTAGGAAATTGGAGAAACTATCATTTATGCCAAACTAAAAGGTGAGTAATGCGCAATCTATTTTCGCATGTTTAATAAAAATAGAACGAATAAAAAATTGTAAGTTGTGGCAAAAAAATACGAAAAAATGCTGAATTGACCACGGGCGCTCCACTAAGCGGAATTCTTGTTAAGCAGATCAGTATAACTTAAACAAAAACCTTGTCTAACTGCACTTCGATATCAGGTCAAGAATCCCACGCGCGTTCCTGCTGCACTTTCAGTACAGCCATCTTGAAACCTTATTAACTCAACCGATATCATCTGCTGGCAAAGCTGTCCTTCTGCAAAAAAAGTTCGGTCCCACTAATCTCTACGAACACGTCAGAGTTCTTGGCTCTCATTCAGGAAAAAAAAGAGGGCAGAATTGGTATAGCCGTGAGCGCCTCTGCTCAGCACACACAGTCCAACGAAATCAAATCTCGGTTCTTTACACCGCTCGAACCAACCAACTCTTCCATATGAGCAGATCGTTCAAAGTGTACCACACTTTTTAGAAGATGAAAAGATTGACCCAAATGGCATCTGTCAGCAAAATTCTGTATGGGATTAATGTGGGTGGCGCATCCCAAAAAGGGGACGATTTGAGCCAAATATTTTATTTTTTCGAGAAGAAAATAATGAAGAAAGAAATAATGCAAAAATATACTTCTAAAAGGAGAAAGGGGAATCCCAAAAATAAGGAATGAATAAAAAGAATAAGTAAATGTCAGTTCGAACATTAAAGTACCACTTCAACCCAAACCTTCCCGACAACGCTTCCGTTAGCATGATTATAGGATTAGGCGGCAGTAACAGAAAAGAGGATTAATATCCGTCCCAACGGCACGATCATCAAGCTATCATTATAGAAACTGCGCACGTGACCTCTTAAAGGGCCATCATTAGGTGAATTAGTACTGACCTGACTTTCGACAAGCATTGCCATATCCATAAACATATCATGTAATTCACGAATACTGCTTTCTAATTTCATAATATCATTATGTCGTGCTTCTATGTCAGCCAGAGTTTGTTTGGCCTAGAAAATAAAAGTAAAATAGAGCAAGAAGCCTCACAAAAAATAATTAAACATCAACAATAGAACAAAAGCATAAACAAACTTGTTGTGTATCCGTAATGATGCCCTGCGTAAACACTCCTGGATTCCCGCTTTCGATCATTTCCTCTAGATCCTCGTCACCTACTTGCTTTCCGGCTAAATACCGTATCATCACGTTACGGTAGCTCCACAAAGTAAGCGGAAACGTAGGACCTGGCCAAATCAACATACCGATATCGAGCTGCCGTTGAATGCGACCTTTACAGCGTTCACGGTAGTCAGTTTGGGTCTTATTGTAGTCCGTCATCACCTCGACAAAACGTCGTGACAACGTGCTGTGTTGCGTTTTGCGTATACGCAGATCCGCATTACCGGCTCCAGCCGACTGTTCGTCATGCTCGATGGCATTCTCGATGAGCTTCAGCTTACCGCGGACCTAGAATTCAAACTTTACAGACCGCAAAACTCCATAAAACCGAGAGAAAAAATGCTTCCTTACCTTATTCGCCGTTCGCTTAATGCTGGCCATAAGCTCATCGAGCTCTTCTTTGGTTTCTGAAAAATAAATATTGGTTCCTCAGAATTTATTCCCTCCCTATATCAACTAGTTCAGCCCTATAACTAAGCGCTATGCATTTTCAGCTGCGCGCACTGCAGCAAAGTGAGGCAATTACTGCTCCCTAATGCTTCTGCAGTTCAGAATAGGTAGAATATTTGAGAAGAATGTGTTTATCCTGTTCCGCGCAAAAAATGCTACCACATCAACACTTTCTTCTCAAGTAGGAAATCAGTAACAGAGAACGATTGGTGAACAATTGAAGTGTTAAAAAGCTTGATAGAAAAAAAAGCTCACTGGGATCATTGACGGGGTTGGAAAGAATTGCTGAGTGTTTTTTCTTGACCTCTTCCACATTGTTGGCAATCAAATCGACACTTCCACGAATTTCTTCGACCTTAATGTGCCAGTCTTTTTTGCTTTCACTGTTAAATGCCGTGAAATTTAATGAAATGGACTAATCAGCTAATCTTCAAGCACCTTTCCCGTTCCCATGGAAACGCAGAATTCTTAACAGTCTTCAGCGCTAAACGCTTAGCTTTGAGAGGATAAATTAGCACAGCAAACTCCGGATTGGAAACAAATGAGGGTTTTTCCCGCTAACCTTCCTCAAAAAGTCCCGCAGCAACAACTTCTATTTCTTCAACAATACATTCCTTCGTGTAATACACAGCCCTTTGTTGAGAGCCAAATCTCCATAAAACGAGCCTCGCTATCCCCAAATTGCTATTGCGTTCTCGCGGAGCAATGGCTATTGGCGCAATGCCAGTTAGACGAACCAAGCTCGTAGCCGCCAAAATCATGGAAAAACTCCAAAATCGATACGAAGCCGACGTAGCGAAGGCACACACACACACATGCGAAACGCGGTCGAGCGTCCGATGGGCATCCAAAACCACAATCATACCTCAACAGCTCCACTGAATGAAACCCATGACCACGGAAGAGAAGCTCGAACTCTGGGTGGATGAAAGTACCTCATTTACAAGGACTATGAAAATTAGGTCAAGAAATCCCTTTTCAAAAAACTTGAAATCATTAAGAAAGACTAATACATGATACTTTTGTCATGACTAAAACCTTGGGGCTACCCATTCTCCAGCAGTAAAGAATGTTTAACTAATTCAGGAAGGAGAACTGATTTCGTCCGTTCTCCAGCAATACATTTCTGAGTAGATGCGTTAGACATGGCTCGTCCAGAACTGCGATATAACACCCAATCATGGTAAAAGGCCATAAGACTGTGATAAAGAAAGCATGATAAACTTTAAATGAAAACCGAATAAATACGGAAATAAAGCATGTATAAAAAGATATCGGGAAAAATGAAAGAATTACCTGCTCAAAGAACTCCTCCATATATTGGGCATTGCCCGTTTCCACTTGCATGTCGTCATCTTGCTCATCCTCTGACTGTGCCGCTTTAAGGGCACTTAGCCGATCTTTAGTCATGATTTAAGGAATGTTGAATGAAGGACGAACAGATAGATAGAGGAATGAATAACTGTCAGCGATGACGTCGACGAGGATCAGGGCATGTCGATGAGCATGCCTAAAATGGGAAGCTTGTGTGTGTATGTGTGTAGCCAAATAATCGCACGCACAATGCTGGCGAACGCGAGCCCCGCCCCTCTCCCGGTTGAGGCCAGGCTAGCCGGCGGCGACCGGCCGGACGCCATCATCCACAAGCCAGCCAGCCGGCCCAGTTAGCTATCTAGCTAGCCGTTTGAGCTTGAAGAGGCGAAACGAGACAAGAGCGCAAGTGACTCTGTCCCCAGAGTAATACACGGCGCAGTGAAATAAACCCGAAATGGACAAATGTCAGTCAACGAGTTATCAATAAAATACGAGACGAACACATATAAATGCGACCGTCGCCACGACGACTTCGCTTGCCGTCAAATGACTGTCAATTTCCATGTTCGATTACCCTATCAATAGAGATATTCTTATTATCACAAAATACCGCGTCATTAATCAGAATCCAATGGAATATCATGACAGCATAATACGAAAAACGCCTACCCAAAATAGGCTGGTTCGTGAGAAAGTCCGAGTGATGTGAAATTTGTTCATTTTTACACAGAACAAGGGAAAATGCTTATAAATAGCACAGACTAGTTCTCAAAGGGTTCCGCAGCAACGAACTCCTTGAAAACAGCTCATAAAAGTCACAAGACTGCATTGCTTTTTCGAGACACAGCCCTGCTTTCATGTTCTAATGGGAAATGGCGAATACCAATGAGTTTTATGAGATTTGGAATTGTGAAAAACAATTATCTCAGAAATAGGTTGAACTGATAAAGAACTTTGGTTGGCAACAATAAGCAACAGAACCTAAGATAAAACGCTGAGTGGCAATATTAGATAGGAGAAATTAGCTTTGCGAACAGTCCATCTGGAGGTTTGATAGGCAATTAGAGAACCTGATAATTACAGGCCAGCGTATTTTGCAGCTATATGGTGTCTGATGGATAAATTTATTTACTTATTTCAAAAAATTTCTCACAAAAAGCAATCACGCTTTGAGGCACATTGGAACCCATTCTGAACCCATAACGACCTTTTCGAGGACATTTCCTCCCTTTTCGATATCTCCTGTTTCGCAAGAAGTCTTTTTTCTCATTTTTTTCCTAGAACCGCTACGAGACTTCTACGACACCAGACTCTTATCGCAGCTTAACTCCACTTCTTTCGAATTGCTCGCTTTCTCGGCATTAAGAGCTAATCATAATTCATCATATAAAAGGCACACGTCACAAACTCTTGCGAAATCTACAGTTCAGCGACGAAAAGTGAACAAACCAGATGAACACACAAAGCCGATCGATAGCGGTAGTTAGGGACATGAATGGAAAACAGAGAGGCAAACATGAAGCCGTGTTGTCGCAGTGAATCGCTGCATATGAGCGCCCAAAAACGCTTTTATGAACATCGCTAAGAACGAGTCCAAATGAGAGACGAACAACGACGGCAAAATTTTCAGCCAGCTGTGTTCAAGCGCAAGCGATGCCGAAAGAACGTCGACAAATAAGTCGGTTATGCACACGCGTCAGCAGAAATACTTCCCAGAACCTTGTGGTCGTTCATCATTTCTTAGCCGAATGCAAAATGCACTTACTGCACAGACATATCGAATATATAACTATTTCAGCATACGAAAATGCTATCCATATAACTCAATGCTTTATTGGAGAAGGTTGCACGATGACTAGAAGCCCACCATTGCACTCACAGAGAATTGCAGCATAAACACGCCCACAGGGCTTTCTATTGCATGGGTTAATTGGTACCTGACGTGCGTGAGAAGATGAAATCGCCGACGCGACCACTGGCTGCCTTTTGCAAATATTCCATAGATCAAACATGCATTTAACACATTCACGCCGCTGGCCGCCCATTTGGGAGGGCCGCTGGCCGCCCATTTGGGAGGGCTGTCAGCTATTACTCGCCTGCCAACCTTTTTCCGGATTTTGGCATTTTTGATATCAGAATAATTGACGTCTTATGCAGACGAGAAGGCTAAGATTACTTTGAGTTATTATATTTCTGCTCATTTATCCAAAATCCACGGTTGTGAGGTGAGGCAAGGGAAAATCGCGGCCGCCCCACGAAAAGCGAAAAAGGGAGCCGTTGTGAATTTTGTCAAATAACGTCAATTTCTGGATGGATAGAATGCATGGCGCACCTCCTATCATGGTGAGCCCTGTCTACTGAAGCGCTCTTACCCTGAGGGGGTATGACAAATGTACTCAGCCGGAGAAGGAATTTGCAAGGACTACACATGGCGCAGAACCGAACGTTTTCCTCGAATAGCTAAAGTAGAAACAATGTACCTAACAGAATCTTACTTGAAAGCATCATTCACACTAGACAAGACACAATCGGCTTAACTAATTTACCAAGTGCAGCTGAACTTGGGAAAGTGCTCGCTGGATCTAGTGGATGCAGGATTGCACACTAGGGAGCTTCTAGATTGTCTACATATATTATGAGCATCTTTTAACCGCAGTGAATGCAAATCAGACAAGCAAATCGGAAAGAAGACTTCGGCTCACTTTCAAATGAAACTATGCGTTCCACATGCGATAGCGTTCAATTGTGAATATCCCAACCGTAGAGAAGCAGATGTGACACTCACCAGATGTTTTTCGGTCACGGCATAGCCGCTTCATCAATCAAAAATCCAGTCGAAACCTCGTACATTATTAAAATCACATAAGACTACTCATGGCCAATTCACACTTCATCGGCCGAAACAAGCGGGAGGATCGTGATTTCGTGATTTTAGGGGGGTATTGATTAAAAAGATCAAAAAAATCCGTTATGAGAAGTTTGGGGGCGAGATGAGGCGATAAGCTTTGACCAGATTCAACGATTCCAACTACTCCAACGAAACCTTTGACCAAAAAGGCTGAGGGGGATCTTGTTTCTAAACTGGAGTAATTGCCACGGTTGGCCCCGCTCATAGGCCGCATACTGGCAAGAAATGAGTGCCAGGGCTTAGCTTTCGGTATGCAATTATGCGTCATATGGAGTGACAGGTTCTTTTCGAATTCATAGTAACAGCTATGAAAGACATTCAGTCAAAGAAGCGAAAGCACGGCTTGGAAGTCGAACGAAGCAAGAAACCATTATTCAAAAACCGCCTCGCTCAACTAGTCCCCATGCTTATTCATCAACATGAACAAGCGAAAGTCAGAACGCTTTTTTCTGAGAAGAAAGTTCCTGGCATGCGAACATAAAGGATAAAGGATAAAGCATTTGCCGTTGATCAATCCCTTTTTGGGATGCGGCACGCATTCTACTTCCATTTGTACATTCGTAGTGGCGTTTGAATGCGATGTGGCCTATACAATGACTTGCGGGGGCCAGCCGATGTACAAGTCAGTGTTTTTATCCTCCCAGACAAGTCTGGTACCAATTAACCGACCCCGGAGGGATGGAAGGCTTGGTTGGCCCGGGCGACTCACGACCCAGGATTTGATCCCCGGACCGCTCGCGTGGTAAGCGTGCCACTTGCCACTACACCCACTTCCGCCCATGGCATAGAACATAGCCAGAACAAAAAGCCCAAATTCGAATCTATTTCGAGCCATATTCTGCTGTTTTTTCACACTCCTTCAATTGATTCAATTTTTTGATTGAGAATTTTCAGTAAGACGAGTATCAGCGCATAAAAAATCAGTCCGTGGTGATATTACAACTTGCAAAAGTGAACTTAAATAAAATAAATTCACAATAAATTAATTGAACCAGTACAAAAAAGTTCACATCGAAATCAAATGAAGCCAAGGCGACATGGAAATTTGCAGAGAGTTTTGCCTTCAGCATATATTTAGGCCTACTTACTCAACTGCCTACTCAGAAATTTGTAAGAAGAGGGAGATAGAGGCCAGCACGAAAATTCCATAGATACAAAGAATTCTTACGAAATCATCGAAATGTTCCATCTTCTACGATCCGCTAATTCGTATAAGATTTATCAGGAAAGAAAAATCACTATCGGAAACGCAGGGGTTTCGAACAGCAGCGCATAGCCCCCAATCGACTTTAAAGTGCTGTATCAGTCTAAGTTGATGACAAACGGTGGTGGTCGAAGATTACCATTCTTTTTCTAATTTTGATAGATTTACTTCCGGTTTTTTCATCACACGGCGAAATCACGTCCGCCATTTTGCTTTCCCAATTGTTCTCTCGATTTCGTGATCGTTAATCTTAACTATCTTCGGGAAAATTGTTCAAGGTTGTTAAGGACGAACATCATTTTTCATTCGGCACCGTAGTGTGTCTATTGGACTCATAAATAATTCTCCTAAAAACTAAGCACTTTTTATTTGATAAATTGATTCGGGCATGACGTCGCTGATTCAACTTCATTTCCAGTCATTTCGCTGCATTAAGAATAGCGCAGCGCTCATGACATCTTTTTGTGAACGCTGGACGACGAAAAATGCTGCGTATGATTGAATTTCCCCCACATGGCTTCCTCACAGCAAAGAGATATGGGAAATCGTGTTTTTACCTTGTCCCCACGGGATGTTTTCCTCCGTTAAAGCGAATTATACCGCCGTCTGCAATAGAAAAACAACCCACTCACTGAAATAAATTCCAGCAAAAAGTGATTAACAAGAGAGAAAAGAGCCATCAAAGCAGTAGAAAGGGTGAGTGTTTGGAAATAACGGAGGACTGAGTATAAAGCATTCCGCGCTGATCTGCCCCTCATCACCCCCTCCCGTCTATTAGAGCGCGCCACGAATGCGCCTTTCGTTCAGGGTAATAGTGGCCTTTGAGGTCCGTGTAGTTTGGGCTAAACGAACTGCAGGGGCAAGCCTATGTATAAGTTAGCGTTTTTATCCCTCAGACGTCCGATACAAATTGACCGTCCAACAAAAGATGGAAGGCTCAGGAGGCAGGGGCGAGACATAAAATTGAACCACTAGAACCGCGGG